TATGTATGTATGTATGTATGTATGTATGTATGTATGTATGTATGTATGTATGTATGTATGTATGCATGCATGTATGTATGTATGTATGTCTGTAAGCATGCATGTATGTATGTATGTATGCATGTATGTATGTATGCATGTATGCATGTATGTGAGTATGTAAGTAAGTAAGTAAGTAAGTAAGTAAGTAAGTAAGTAAGTAAGTAAGTAAGTAAGTAATGTAATGCATGTAATGTATGTACGTATGTATGTATGTGTGCATGCATGCATGCATGCATGCATGCTTACATACATGTATGCATGTATGTATGTATGTAATGTATGTATGTATGTAATGTCATGTAATGTCATGTAATGTAATGTAATGTAATGTACTGTATGTATGTATGTATGTATGTATGTATGTATCCTTGCACTTCCCCTTTGCTCCCCAGTATTTCCCGCAAAAAAAAACACGGTTTTTCCAGCGTTTTCGCAAAGAGGACGTCCAAAAACATTGAGTTTTTCCAGATTTTCGGCAAAAGGATGCAGGAAGCCCAAGCCAGCAAAAAAGCCGGCAGGGGGAATCGAGCCTGGGACCCCTGTTTTGCGACACCGGCTCCCCGAAGACTACGTTTAGTGGAACGTCATCAAATTGCCGCGCGGTACGTGGGGGACCCCCCCCCCTCCCCCCCAAAAACCTACGTAATAGACGTCGGGCGGGGGGGGGTTAGGGGGGGGGTTATCCTCTATCCTCTAGTAAGTATCCGACACGCCGAGCAATGTCGGCGGATTTTGAAGCGCGAATTTGATGTTCGGATTGTGAGGTACACTTCTGCGTCCAAAGCCGCCAGCCTTCTCGCGAAGCTAAGTTCCGCGCAGATATGCGCAAGAGGGAGCGTCTTGTGCAGCGTTGTGGGTAGCAGCGCGCAGAGCGTCATGCGCCGCGTCGTGCGCAGCGTCAACTTGCTGCGTCGTGCAGAGCAAACGCGCGACCCAGGAACCCGAAAACAAGCTCAAATAGGGTGCCGAGGGGCTGATGGTGCTGTTGGCGCTGCTTGTGTGGTCGGTGGAGGTGTCAGCGCGCGCGTGGCATAAAACCATGGTTCGCGGCCACCCCCGTGTCAGTCTTTTTGGTCCGAGCGGTTTGCTCATTCCCTCGCCGCGTGTTAAACCAGCGTCGCGTGTGGAAACAGTTGCCCGTAAGCTTCTTGGTTGACATTAGGATGGGCTTCGTCTCCCAGTTCCGTCGCGCGCTGCAGCTCCACCCCGGGGAAGGGGGGAGACGCCAGGTGAGGCCACGCTGTAGGGTAGCGCCAGGGTGGAGTGCTGCGGGGGTGACGGAGCCCGTGCCCAGGTTCCGTGCTCCAGCTGCCCGGCTCCGCCGGCTCGCTGCCCCGCCCAAGTTCCGCCCACCGCAGCTGTGTCCCATCGCTTCGCCCGGCTTTGCCCGCTTTGCCCGGCTCCGTCCGCCCACTTCGTTTGCCAGCGTCGCTACCAGGTTTCGTCTGCTCGCTGCGGCAGCCCGTCGTCAAGCTCCACAAGCCTAAGCGGAAACCCAAGCGTCAGAAGTGCTTTTTGAGAATATGAGGGATGAAACTAGAAGACGGGTGGCCTGATTTTTTTTCCACGACACGCAGCCTGAATCGGTCCATGTTCTCCAAAACTGCATTTCAATCTCTACTCTCTGTGCATGCCACTATGCGTTTCACTGCCCACTTTCCCCGCGCATGCATCTATGCACTTCACTCTGTACCCTACGCATGCCTCTATGCATTTCACTGTCTGCTCTGTGCGTGCCACTATGCATTTCACTGTCTACTTTCCCTGCGCATGCCTTTATGGATTTCACGCTGTGCTTGCCCTGAACATGCCTCTATGCATTTGATTGTCTACTCTGCGCATGCCTCTTTGCATTTCTCTGTCTTACTTTCCCTGCGCATGCGTCTATGCGCTTCACTCTGTGCATCTATGGATTTCACTGTCTACTTTCCCTGTGAGTGCCTCTATGCGCTTGACTCTGCACTTGCCCTACGCATGCCCTCTATGCAGTTCTCTTCCTACTTTCCCCCTCTATGCATGTCACTGTCTTCTTTCCGACTTTGCAGCCGGAGCTGCGGGGACGTACTTCGCGTACTTCTTTTGCACTTAAAAGTTACGACTGCACTTCGTGTACTATTTTGTACTTAAAAGTTGTGACATTGCAGCCTGATCCCTGCAGACGGTCGCGCGCAGACCGTGAAAACATGAAAAGATTCGCACGGGACCACTGCGAGAGCGACCTGCCACTCACAATCTCCGCGCAGGGCCGGGTGCGAACCGCGAAGATTCGCACGGGACCATAGCGACAGCGATCCGACACGCGCGATCCACACAGAGGGGCGCGCGGCAAGAATTGCAAGAGTCGCAGAAAATCTGTTTTTTGCGCATCAAACCACGCCGATTCCTGCGGAAGGTCGCTCTCGGCCCGCAAGAATCGCCTAAAATCCTACGTTTTTGCACATCAACAACGCCGATCCCCGCAGAGGGACGCGCGATCCGCGCAAAGGGTTGCGTGCAGCCTGCAAGAATCGCAAAAAATCCGCAGTTTTTTGCACATCAGCCACGCCGATCCGCGCAAAGGGTTGCGCGCAGCCTGCGACAATCGCAAAAAACAATCTCTAGTTTTTGCACATCAGCTACGCCGACCCCCGCAAAAACTAAGCTTTTGCACCTCGACCACGCCGATTCCTGCAGAGGGTCGCGCGCGGCCCGCAAGAATCGCCCAAAATCGTCAGCCTTTGCGCATCAATCGCGCCGATCCCCGCAAAGGGTCGTGCGCAGCCCGCAAGAATCGCAAAAAAACACACAACAATCGCAGAAAAAACAGTTTGTGCGTGATGCGCAGCCCGCAAGAATCGCAACACATCTTCAGTTTTTGAACATCAACCACGCCGATCCCTGCAAAAAGCCGCGCGCGGCCCGCAAGAATCGCAAAAACATATACAGCTTTTGCACATCGACCGCACCGATCCCCGCAAAGGGTCGCGCGGGCAGGTTGAAAATCACAAAGAACAACCTGCTGCTTTTGCACCTCGACCGCGCCAATTCCTGCCAGAGGGTCGCGCGCGGCCCGCAAGAATCACCTAAAATGCCCAGTTTTTGCGCATCAACGACGCCGATCCCCACAAAGGGTCGCGCGCAGCCCGCGAGAATCGCAAAAAATCCGCACAAGAGTCGCAAAAAAACATCCGCAATTTTTGCACATCAGCCACGCCGATCCGCGCAAAGGGTTGCGCGCAGCCCGCGTATCTACCACGCCGATCCCTGCAAAAAGCCGCGCGCGGCCCGCAAGAATCACAAAAAGCTCCAGTTTTTGCACATCGACCGCGCCCATCCCTGAGAGGGTCTCATGTTCGCAGGGCGCGCTTGCTCCCACTGCGCTTTAGATACGAATTTTAAGAAAGCATGCAAGTTTCCTTGCTCGTGCGAGAGGAATGCAAGACCGCTATGCATTTCACTGTGTACTTTCCCTTGGCATGTCTATATGCATTTCACTGTCTACTTTCCCTGCGCATGCCTCTACGCATGTCTTGTGTACTTTCCCTACGCATGCCTCTAGGCATTTTACAGTCTACTTTCCCTGCGCATGCCTCTATTTATTTCACTGTCTGCTTTCCGTGTGCATGATTCTATGCATTTCACTGTCTACTTTCCCTGCGCATGCCTCTACGCATCGCACTATCTACTTTCCTTGCGCATGCATCTATGCACTTGCCTCAGTACTTGCCCTACGCATGCCTCTATGCATTTCTCTGTCTACTTTCCCTGTGCGTGCCTCTATGCATTTCACTGTCTAATTTCCTTGCGCATGCGTCTATGCATTTCACTCTGTACTTGCCCTATGTATTTCGCTGTGCACTTTACCAACGCATGCCTCTATGCGTTTGACTGTCTACTTTCCCTATGCAGCTGAGCTGTGCGGAGCGCAACGACTTTACCGGAAGAACCCTTCGCAATGCGTTCGGGGGAAAAAATGGCAACAGCTGCTTGGTTTCTCCCAAGTAGTTTTGTTTCTCTCGTTTGCCCTGGTTACCGTGACTTTGATTGAAAAATAGAGTTGAAATCACTACCACGCTCTTTTGTGGGTCTTTGCATTTGCTCCTTGTAAGGCTCCTTCAGAAAGCTCCTCATAAGGCCCCTGCTCTTTTCAAGGTTCGTGCATAAAGCGCTCCTGTCTGTAAACATGCAAGGCGCCTTCCTTACTCTTGCGCCACTCCGCAGTATCAAAAAAGACATTTTGCTTGGAATGAGATTTAGATGGGGTTCCTGTCCATGTATGATGTGAAGTTAACATTAACTAGTGAGATATGGAAGGGTCCATTGGATTTCTATCTTCGGCTTATCGCTCTGCAAGGACTTCCTACCTGAATTGCAATTTAAATTTGACATTCAATTGCATTTCTTCCTTCTTCAGTTCTATCGCAACTCGAATAAAATGTTTGCTTCAGTCTTGTTACAGGGGGTTGGTTCACAAATAGATCCAATCTTACACCGCAATTACAATTGAGTTCTTTCCTTGTTCAAATCTATTAGTGGAATGGATGCCGTATTTAAAGTCGTAAACGCACTGTTTATGCTACAGAGGCAGATCTTGGGGCACACACATATATATATATATATACCATGCGCAAATAAACCGTCATAATCAATCGCACACGCTGTAACCCCCCCCCACTCACCCAGGGTCATACCCAGGGTATAGGACCCCCCCGATCCTGCTTGGGTTGTTTTGGAGTTTAGAGTTGGGTTTGGGTGTGGTTTTGCGGGGCGCTGGGGCCTTGGGGCCATACCATGCAAGGGGGGAATCTTATAATAGATGTTTGTGGTAGTTCGTGCTATTTGCGCATAGTAACATCTTTTCATATTTGCATAGACGCACGTATGCACATGGGCACATGGACACATACAGCGCACGGGCATGGTTCTGATAGACGTGCCTCTCCCAGCGACTGACATGATCGCTTGCAACCGTCGTGGAGGCACCATGCGGGAGTACCTTCCTGCCCAAGAGATTACCCTCGACAATGTGCGCAAGCAGCGCATCCGGAAGCAGCCTAAGGCTGCCAAATGCAATTGCAATTCGACAATCACTCACGGATTGGGGCAATGTTTTCCAGAAGCTGGGTTCACACCCTTTCCCGGAGAGAAGCTGGAGACATGCGCAGGTGCGCAAGAGCTCCATGGAGGATATCGCCGCCGAAGCGAAGAGCGCTTGAGCGGCACGGGACGGGAAGGGATGGCGCATTTGCGCCAAAAGAGAGAGGCGGGCGATCCAAATCGGCAGGAGCGGGGCCAATGATAGATTCCAAAACTCAAGGAAAACTCCCGGCCCAGGCTTGGACATCGAGGACATGGCCGCATTCCAAAAGACAACGAAGGGGAACCGGCCGAAGAAGCCGCTCGACTGCGAGCCCCAAGCCCAAGGCGCTCCAAGGTTTTGTTTGCGCAAGACTTGAGGTTGTATCATTGGGGAGCAGCTTGTTGACATCGAGTTTGAAAGGTGTGGCAGCCAAGGATTGAAGACAACAAGCTGGTGGCAAGCACCAACCGAGGCGGGACGGCATCGTTTCATCACAAGCCATGTGTGCTGCGTTCAACAAGCCCTTCTTTGGTGCGAGCAAGAACTCCTCCACCCTCCAATAAAACATTAGAGTCTCAGTAGCTTGTCGAGTGTGGGTTCCCAATCGCATCAACCGCTCGGCTTGAGAGTGTTGCAGGCTTTCTGGAGGTGGACCGTGGCGACCTGCCCAAGCGAGGAGCCTGGCTTGGGCGTCAGCTTGTTCCATCGCTTCCAGCTCATCTATTTGTCTCAAGACCGGCTGCAGTTTAAATCACGATTGTCGCACGCT